CCCTTTTTTTTTTTTCCTTTCTTTTTTTTTTTTTTTTTTTTTTTTTTTTTTTTTTTTTTGACAGTGAAAGGAGATTTAGGTCTTTTAAAGCAATCTGACTACCACTACTCATTTTCTTTATCAGGAATATTACTGCACACCCTTAATAGGGAACCTTGTTTTGCTACTCCCCGTCTGTTCAAAACAGACCTTAGCCCATTAGAAGGTCCTCCCTTGTGTGGGAAGACCACAGCTGTTACTGTAAATCTCATCCAGTAACTGTATCACCCCCATTTTGTGGCTCTGAAGGATGAAATTGAGAAATGGAATACTGTGCAGTCATCCTTTACATCTCCAATTTTAGGCCTTTGCACATCATTTTCATGCTTTTATTCCAAATCAAACAACATTAGTGAGCAACACCACCCTGTGCTAAATGCCTAGTGTCTAAAGGCAGCACCTATGATCTTTGTTTTTGGAGGATTTAGAGGCAAGTTGGGGTTTTGTTGATAGTAATTTTTTAAATTTTATTTTTTTAATTCCCTCTTTTCGCTTCCTTCCCCCATCAGATCTTTCCCAATCCCCAAAATCCGTTGGAAGCAGAAATCCAGACAGTAACGAGGTGCCTAAGATGGAGGATGCTCTGTTACGCCTCCACAGAGGAAGCGAGAGCTCAGCATGGTTACAAACACAACTTTAAAAAAGGTTTCTGTTTCTTTAAATCCTTCTGAATAAAGTGGATCTAACTTCTTATGAAGGATATTGGGAGTTTTAATCAGAAATAAGAAGTGGTTTAAATCATTAGCACAACAAAGCAAACTATAAGCTTGAAGATAAAAGTCTCAGGGGAGAGAGTCCTCTGAAAATAAATGGGACTTGATAGATTTCCATATCATTTATAACTTCCCTTAATTACACTTGGAAGACTTGCCAGTAAAACTGGAAAATTGGCAGCCTATATCCATTATAGTAATTTTGCCGACCATGGCAAGCAGCTGGCTTTACTGGATTTTATTTCCCATCACTCACAATTAATCATCAGCTGGAGATGTCTGAAACTCCTCAAAACGTAGCAATACTGTGTGACATTCAGGCCTCCTTAAAATGCTGAAATCTGCTGAGTAAATGGGCTGAGTTCCCCTTCCAGCGAACTCATTTTGGTGCGAGGCAGGCTGCCGGTTAATGAGTGCCACTTCGATAATCGGATGCGAATGTGAACCCTGACCTCATGTCAAAGGAGAGGACGCAGCAAGCTGGATAAAAGATAGGGGATTCAGATCTGCAAACTTTACACCAATTAGACAGAGAGCGGGGAAATACATCAGTGCTGATTGGGTTTATCAGAAAGACTTGTGGGGCTTGTGACCATTTTGTAAGCCTAACATTGAAGATGTCCTGTCACAATCATTAAGTCTTTATCAGATGATGCGCAAAAGTCTGAGGAAAGTGTACCATATTCACAAAGATCCATCCCGTGGTAGCTATGCCCTGGGGTGCGCGCTGTCGTTTGGTGTTTCTGAGGTTTAAAGGGACCTATCCATAAGTGCAGTTTGTCTTTACGCTGAAATGAAAACTCTTTGGGTTTGCTTTTTCTCAAATTCTGCTTCCACCCCATGTCATGGGTTGCTTGGTTGGGAAATGACAGTTCCCTGTCCCGTGTGTAACCTTTTGTCCAGAGCAGATAACAACTGCCATGCAGTCCCTGCGTTATTCATACAGTGCTATTGAGTGTTCCCAAATTCACATCATCGATGTTACCAACATCGAGATCTTAAGAACCCTCCTGTTCAATGATTTTTCTTTTCTCATCTTTTTCTTTCTTTTTTTCTTTTTATTGTTCCTTTTCACTCTATGAAGAACAAAACTGAACAGCTACTTTGAACCGCGCCATGCAGAAACAAGCTACTAAAATACAGACTGCAGGCCTAACAGTTAATCACTCATTTAATTCACTATTCCAAGCAGCGTTAGAGTAGATTTGTCTAAAGTGTAACTCTGTGAGAGAGATACCTGAGTTCAATTTCTTTTAAGAAAAGGAGCCCTTTTATTTCAGTTGGTTCCAATCAATCAGATGTTTTCTTTGATTTTATTTGCCTGTTTTGACAGATTCAGGTCATCACTGAGACCTCTCTAAATTGAAATGTAAAGATCGTGGTTTACACTGGTTTACCATCTACTGAAAGAAATAAATTATATGTTGAAAATGCTACATTAAAAATGGCCCAGATAAATCCTTAAATAGGGTAGAAAGCAAGAACTTGTACACATCGCCGTGATTTTAATTTGCAGGCTAAATAACAGGCAAAAGGATATGTGCAATTATGGAATGAAAGAAGTTGGACAATGCCCAAAAGACTGAAAAAGAGAAAAGAGAGATACAAGTGCCTAATTTTAGGATTTGTTGCTTTGCAACACAATGAGTGGAGATGTAAAGGTTTAACATAAGAACAGTAATTAAACTTCTGTGCTTAAGTGACACTTTCACCAAGGCAATTTTCAACAAATTGCACATCATCAGAAGTACTGACACAGCATTTTCACACATGGTACCTGTGGAAAGTGCCTCCTTCCTTCCAAATTAGTAAGACTAGATATTAACTGGATACTTTGTCTATATATTTTGTGGGTTGGGGAGGGGTATTTCCTTCCCAGACACTACTTTCTTTGCCATTAACCCAGCAGGTATTATGTAAAACACAAAAACTATATTTTTGAGAAAGGGAGTGAACATGAGAAATTCAGAATCAGGGACATTTCCATCCCACAACCACTTAATACCTCCTGGCATTTTAGTGCCAGATCTAGAGACAATTCCATACTTTCCCAGCAGATGTAGTTCCAGAACTCTATTTAGGTAGCTGCTAACTGGTTCATTTGCATGCCATCCACCCGATGAAGCCATGTTACAGCTGAATTGCACTGGGACTCGAGAAGAGTTTCTTGTGCCCTTGAAATTAGGCCACTCAGTTCAGATCTGCACTCTAGCATCTCAATCTTCAGCAAACTTTAGAGACCCATGTTCTTGGTGCTTTGATAGCTGAGTTTAACTGAGTGTCAGATTTGTTTCTGGAATAGGCTATTAAAACCCCCTCAAAACTCCAACAGACTTTTTTTAAATCATTATTATTGTTTTTTAACAGCTGTAGATATTCACAGCTTCCTCTTAACCCCAGAAGTGTCTGAGTCGTTCAGAGCAGATGCAAGAAAAGCTGAGCAGTGATACAGAGAGAAGAGGAGGAAAAGAAGCCAGGAAGGGAAGAACAAGCTACTGGGACAAAGCTACAGGCAGAGCAGCAGGTGTGGAAGGAACCAGACAAAAGATGGGGAAAGGGAATAGAGGGGAAGTAACTGGAGACAAAGAATAAGTCTTTGATACTATTCACTGAATTTGACACTGCTAATGACTTAAATGCTCGCCTGAAGCTCAGGATGGAATTTCTGCAGGTGAAGTATTGGGTGTTGCTTATTCTCTGTATCCAGTTAGTACACCATGTTCCCAGAGCAAACACTTCCCTTACCTACCACGAAAAGCAGTCATATTGCTGTTGGCAGTCTGCTGGAGAAAGGATGCATAAGCACCTTTTAACATAATTTCTTTTCTTCAGTCTTGCTGTGAATCCATAGTCAGGTATCAGTGCTTTTCAGTCATTGCTAGTGCATGCTTTAGGAGAAAAAAAAAAGCTTTTGATTTTCAGAATGTACTTCATGCCATGTGCATTTGATCTCTGACTTCACACTTTTCTGTTAGATGGTATATTCCTCCAAAGTGGAACACGCTTGTCCTTAAATATGTATTATTTATTTTACATATATTTACAAAAATGTATCTGTATGTATGTATATAAACAAAGAGATTTTGAGGGCACTGGCACGTATAACAAACAGACAAGTTGCAAACTCTGGTAACAAATCAGATCTCTGCAAGTCTCAAATTACCCTCTTTAATGAAACTTTGACATCAGAATGAAAGCATCCCAAATTTGCTGGGATAATGAGCGAATGGCAAGCTACATCTGCTAAAGTGCCTAATGCAAGACTTGCAGTGGACGCTTGCAGCCAGGCACCCCAGAGGAGTGCACCTGCGTAAATCCTAAGTAAATATTGGCATGGAGGTCCCAGTGCCCTTCCCTCTCCGACATGCATCATCTTCATGGAATGACTGGCTCATCTCTGGCGGATAAATCCTGAGTCCTGTGGTTTTCCCCCCTTGTATAGGCAGCACCCCCCCAACACTGTAAAGCTTTGAGTGGCTGTTTCCTCTGCACAGCATAGTCCAAGGTGTTGAAAGGAGGATCTGACCGGGATGCACAGGGAGCCCAGCAGAGCAGCCCAGTGGGTTACTGGTGACATGGAGCTTCTGATGCCTGTTTGCAGAGTACAAGCCAGCAGAAAGAGGAAACTTGAGTGTTTCCTTTTAAGAGCTATCAGCTGTGGTGAAAAGGATGGTTTTGCCTCTGCAATTCCTCCCCTGTGGATGAGAGGTGGTGGTTCCTCGCAGGCGTGCTCTGTTCCATCAGTCTAAAGTCATCAGCTATCATCTGGGTGCTGCCGTTCACAGAGGTGTGACTTTCTGCTCAGCATTAGCGCATTGGGTAATGCTGGAGTTTCCAGCACATGCTCCCCGGACACCTGCCAAGGAACTTTTGGCTTCTGGATCAGGATTAGTATCTGTGGGATTTGCACCAGGGAAGCAAAGCAAAGGCTTCCAGCCAAACCTGCACAAATCAAATTTTGCTCTGGATTTAATTGATGTTGGTCTGTGGTGGATATGTGGTTTGTCTGCAGTGGTGGTTTTAAGCAGGTGATTCCTTGTCCCCTATTTTTCTGCTGGTTTTGGCAAAAGCAATTGCATTTTGTGATTGTGGTCTGTGTCATGACTGTGTAGCTGGCTGCCTTGATTTATGCCATCGGAGTCTTTATAGCATTTAATGAAATAATCCCTTTATTTTCCAGAAGACTCATACACACTTAGAGTATTTAAAATCCTCTATCCTCATTTTGTACTACTTGAATTTTACCAGGTTGCAGAAGGTCAAGAGATTTGTGTAATTGAAGCAATGAAAATGCAGAACAGTATGACCGCTGTTAAAACAGGCAAGGTAAGCTACCTTGGGTCGCTTAAAACCGTATGCAACTTGTCAAGTAGGATAGGATTTAAAAAGGGAAAAAGGAGGATTCTGGTTGTTAAGGAATTAAGTCTGATTGTTGTAAGTCTTTCAAAGTGAGTTGTCTTTAATTTTTAACATTTGGATCTGCTGTGAATGCTGTTAAGTAGTTCTGAGCCTTAGATAGCACAGCAGTAAATAGTTTTACTGGCTTCAGAATTCAGATAAGTCTTTCTCTCCTAAGTGGTTTGTTATCTGTGATTCTATGTTGCAGTGCTAAGTTGAACTGAAAGGTGTTGCAGACTGATTCTCCAAATTCCATCTTTCCAGAGAGCAACTGAAAGAAGGGAGATCTCTTTGTCAGTTAATTCATTAATTACAAACAATTTGACATTAAAAAAACCCACTTAGAATGAGGCATAGAAAGTGCTTTTGCAGGAAGATGAATGAAGCAATTTGTTTATTATTGTGACTGTTAGATAAGAAGCCAAAATCTGAAGATGTGTTAAGCTTTGCAAGGCTGTGTATTGTGATACCCTGTTTCTGAGGGATCAGCGTTGCAGCCCCTGACCTGGGACTCTCCTGCAGTGCAGGATGTACCAAAACCAGTGCTCTGGGTGAGGAGCTGGTTAAGATTACATGATAAGGATGTGCCTTAAACCCCATCTGGTTTGGGGACTGCCAGTCCCCATGTGAGGGCCTCAGAGCATCCCTGTACCAGGTTATAATTCACAGCCTGAAACCATCACTTAGGTATGGGCCCCTGATCCATCCTTTTCAAAGGGAGGGCAGAGTCTGGATCTGGATTTATGTATTCTCTTCTATCTAGTATTTCCTCACCTGTTCCAGCCTTTCTCTGCCTGGGGACAAGCCCCTCTGCTCTCCCTGAAGCACTGCCATTTTGCTATTAAAAACAGCGGAACAAACCCAAGTGCAACATCCCTTATCCCAGAGGGAGGCAGCAGGGAGGGAGCCTGGCTCTCCAGAGCAGGGATAAGGTCGGCCACTGGCAAGATTCGCAGAGATCTCAGGATGGATCTCTGTGCCAAGGACTGTTTGTGTGTTTACAGGAAAGGCTTATTTGGCACAGCACTAACATTGTCGCTGAGGCTGGGACCCAGGGCTTGCATCTTCCAGTGTACCTAGTGCAAAATTGGGTCTCAAGGGAAAGAATTGCAGAGAGAGGGAGAACATACCTTATCCCGTTGCTCTAACGTTGCCACTTTATGATTTTATTTCATGCATTAATTCCTATATAATTTATTTTCTCACTTGATTAATATTTCCCAGCATTTAATTTTTCATCTTTGCTTCTTTTGTTTAACCCCTTACTGCTGCCTTTTTGCATCCACTGCTTTTAACTAGGGAGTATTTGTAATTAAAATGCCATTCTCCCACCCACTCCCTTTTATTTTTTACTGTGACCTTCCCTTTCCCATCATGGTGTGCTGTAACCTATGGAACTGTTCCTTAAAATCCTGCTTGTACCTCTCCCATTAATAAATATCACCCACTCGTTCTATACAGATACCATGTAAACCCCACTTTTGGATTATTAGTCCTTCAAAGTGGAACGTGACTGGTGCACAGGCCATTCAGTAGGCCCGATGGGCACCTTGCAATGTCCCCTTGGTGTCTGCATTTTAATAATAAGCAAATTGTTTGATTCTTTTGAATTTTAAGAATTTGAAAAGGCAAAAGAGTTTTGGGCTGTGGAGAGGTGAAGCTGCTAAACAGGATTCATCTCATTTTGCAGTGCAAAGTCATGACTCTGAGTGCCAAAATAACTTGGCCCCTCCACAGGAATGGGTTGTTTGGCACTGGCTGGTAGTCTACATTTTGATGCCCTGAAACTGTGTTTTGAAACTCAGTTCCTTTGTCTTCAGCTGGAAGCTGTTCCCATTTTCATTCCTGGCTGAATTCCTTTTCTGCATCCAACCCCATTTTCCTGTTTGCAATTGTGAGAAAAGTGGTTTGTTTTTGTCTACTTTGAGTTTACTCCAGCTGCAGGTGGTTTAAAAATGAGGGAAAGATGGAGAGGGACTGTTGTGCCTCCAGTCTCCTCTGGGACAGCTGCGTGTGGGTCAGAATGAGGAATGTCACAAACCACTGGGGAGTTTGAAGCACTGGCCAGCCACAGTGTTTGCTGAACCCTGGCTTTGTAGATACAGAAAAGAAAGAAGTAGAATATTTTTCACACTGCTTCCATCTCTTTAAAGATTGAGGCTCAGGAATCAGGTAGGCTGCCTAGCTACTGATGTAGAAATAAACCCCTTTCTTGTACATCATGTCTTTGTCCACAGTGTCCAGCTTTGTGTCTTGAGCAATGCTATGAATATGCTACATGGCCAGAGATACAACTCATGTGGCTTTAGGCTATCAAACTAACTAGGGCATGGGGAATATTAGCCTGATATTTTGGGTATTCTCCAGGTTTCTTCTAGGAGCCCAAGGTAATGTTTGGATGACTAAACTTAGGTAACTGCTGAACAAGGTTTTGACCAACAATTTGGGCATGTCAGTGTGAGTTTTGAATTAATATTGCAAGTAAACTCTAATATACAGCTTCAAGTAATTTCTGGAGCTCCAATGTGCTGAAAGGGAATTCAAACATGTTGCAGCCTTTTATAGAGGAAATGAGGGACTAGTGGAAGATGTTTCCGTTTTAAAATTCAGGAGTCTGCACATGAGTGTGTAACTCACCCTCAGATGAGCTGCATTTGACAGTGGTGAGGCTTTGCCAAGTTCAGTTATGTTAAAGGATCCCAGTTAAGTTTGAATAATCTATCCCAGTGCTCTGGGGATTGAGGGAATCTCACTTCATGGTTTCAGTCCCAAAATTCAGTTATATTTAGAATCTGTAATGCAAGAAATACTGGAATGTTTAATTGAAACGTCCAAGTGTGAGTGTTGAAGAGTCAGCCTGTCCTCTGATTGATAAAAGATTTTAAACTTTATTAGTAAACGAACAGCAGTGCAGACAGGTGGAAGAAGGTGCCTTTTAAGTGTGCCATCTCCATCTGACTTTCAGGTCTTCAAGCACCCAAGTCATAAGAAAACCAGCTAGTGGTAGATGCCCAAATACCTTGGTGGAGTTTGACACCATTTGGTGAAGCACTGGGGAGATGGTGGAGTCTCCATTCTCAGAGATACTCAAAACTCAGCTGGACTCTGAGCACTAGAGGTTGAGACATCAACCTCTTGAGGCCCTTCCAACATACACCTGTGATCCCTGTGGTGGTCATAATGCTGCTTTGGCCACTTACCCTGTGCAATGTAGATATGATATTCTATATAAGCAATGTCAACCAAACCATTTATTTAACCATGCTATTGAGGGAGGTTTGAAATTATTCCTGTTTCTGTACCGCAGGTGAAAGCTGTGCACTGCAAAGCTGGTGATACCGTTGGAGAAGGAGATCTGCTGGTGGAACTGGAATGATGTGTCGCCTCCACAGTGTTGAATTAGCTAAGCCTTTATTATTTTCATCCACAAAGTAAGATTAAGGTAATTCAACACAGAAAATGGACAGTCCTATGCACAAGGTTTTATACAGACATATTTATTGAATCAGTAGTTGAGACAGCAAACACAGATGTTAAACCTTGGCAACAGATCCCAGATTTTTACTTCCAGAAATACTTGTACATAACCTTTGTAATTCTTTGATTTTTCAGGATCAAATAAAATTATTTCTGCTTTAAAACAGGAAAAGCCTCTTTTTTTTTTTAAAAAAAAAAACCCACAACAAAAGGCCAAATCCGATTTGTCTTCTCAGTGGTAACATCACCGGTTTGAGAACCCAGCCAAACAGCGCAGAATGGTTGGTGAGAGTGAAAAAAAATAACCACCGAGTGAACTGAGCTGTTTTTTTCCCACACTCTGTGTAAGTGCTGAACAAGTACAGCCAGTGCCTTAAATTCTGATCAGGTTTACTGTTGTATTTTCAAGTCTTCGTATGGACTAGATTTGACTTACAGGTTGGATGTTTTATTTTGCTAGTGCAGACCTTCCCCATGTATTTTCATTTACAGCTGGCTCCATACTCAGATCCCCACCACTCCCCTCCTTTATCTTCTTTCTGTTGATTGGAGAAGAGAAGGCTGCGTGGAGACATCACAGCAGCCTTCCAATATCTGAAGGGGGCCTATAAGGATGCTGGAGAGGCACGCTTCATTAGGGACTCTAGTGGTAGGACAAGGGGGAATGTGTCCCCCTTGTGTTTAAACTTAAACAGGGCAAGTTCAGGGTAGATATAAGGGAGAAGTTCTTTACTGTGAGGGTGGTGAGGCACTGGAATGGGTTGCCCAAAGAAGTGGTGAATGCTCCATCCCTAGCAGTGTTCAAGGCCAGGTTGGTCAGTGTGAGGCAGGCATCCCTGCCCATGGCAGGGGAGAGGGGTTGGAACTAGATGATCTTAAGGTCCTTTCCAACCCAAACCATTCTATGATTCTGTGATTACTGGATGCAAGTCTGTCTTTACAGGAGGAGCTGGCACTGTCCTCAAACTCCCTTAGCCCCCCAGTGTAGTGCTGGAGGCATTTGCTGTCCCTCTGGCCAACCTTCCTCCTTAACTCTTACAGAAAAGGGAGACAAAGTGATCTTTGTTGTGCAGAGGCTCTTACTGAAGACTGTACGAAGAACTAGAACTGTTCATAATACAATTGCTGAAAGAGCTGTATATCCAGTACGGGCCTAGAGAGGAGGAAGATTGAAGAGACTTAAATGGACTGAGAGGGCCGGTGACTCGGTCAGAACAGGTAAGAAGACATGGGGTTTTTTTCACTCCTTGCTCAGGAGCTCCATGCCACAGGATAATGAAGATACCAGAAGTTTACTGGGTTTGAACCAATGTTTGTTAGTGTGTGGTTAAGAAAGGCTCTTTCTTCTGTTAATTGATTTAGCTCAGTAATTCAGCAGCTGCAGCTCACTAGATGCAGTGATACCTCTGCAATCCCTGCACACTGTAAGCATCGTCTCTGACCCTGTGCTGTTGTCTAGGCCTCCACTGCTGCCCATGCTGGGCCAGCACACTGGGCTGCTCCTGCCTTTGGTCTCAACGCCTATGGCTTTTTTTTTAACATACATCCTTAACCTCTAGGGCCTGCTCTCATTTTCTTGCCTAGGATGTGCAGAGTCATTCTACTTCCCAGAGAAACTCCCTCTGGCCAGAGGCGCCTGGGCTTTCCCAGAAGGACAAAACCAGACTGTGACAGGGCTGGTGACTTACATTTAACCAGGAATGTTTGTGATTCTGCTTCACAATTCTGATTGAAGAGGCATCTTGCATATTATTGAGACACTGCGAACAATACCACACGGCCAAGGGGGAATAACGTAGTGCAGGGACTTGCTTTGTTAGTTTACAAAACCCATCAAGGTGAGTAAGGAGAGTGAGTAGTACCTGTCCTTCAGGAAAATTAATGCTTTTGCAGTTGGAGAAACTGAGGCAGACACCCTGCAGATCTTCCTACCAATCTCCTTAATTCCACCTTGCCCTTTCCAAAAGGGAGCACAGTTCAGCTGCTGCAGGCTGCCCTAAACAAAAAACAAGTATTGCAAAGAGACACAAGTCTTGTACTTTAAAGTTGCTTAAGTTGTTACTGCAGCAAGACAAGCTTTTTGTCTGTTAGATAAATGAGATGCAGCGGTGCATCCTACTGATAAAGTTTAGGCTGATTCCTCACCCTGGACCTCCTCTGCCCATCACAGGGCTACTGGCAGTCAAGCAAAAGTACCATAGTGTTCTTAATGGTATCCTTAGTACATTTCATTGTACTTTGGCTCACTGCATGGCATACATTCCCTGCTCACATCCTTTTGGCAGCTTTGTATGTTCTACAATCTGTATGTACCAAACACTGCAGTTGAAGGAAAATACAAGGCACAGGAGCGTAACAACAGAAAGCTACGATTTCCCCAGATTGTACAGAAACCAGCACAGTTGGTTGGGTCAGGGGGATAATAGTCATCTTTCCATCTATTTTTCTTTCCCCTCTTTAAATGTTGCAGGTCCTTTGGATGTTTTATATCATGTACAGAAAATCTTTCCCTCGATAGGAAATGCAGTTTGCATATGGTTGCAAGTAAGTTCTGAATTAAAGTGCTTGGCAAAAAGTCACCTTGATAGTTAAGTGCCCGCAACAGCTGCATCTGCTATAGTGTGATGGGCAGCTGAAAACAGGTTTGCTTTTCCTGATCCCCAACACCCCTCCACCACCCCACCTCCCCCAACCCTACAGTCACTCTGAACTGAAATGGTACTTAAAAGGTTTAGAATGCTAAATTCAAAATGATTTTAAATGTAATTCTCTTATCCTCTCTTAGTATTTCTTCACAGTACCTTATAAAACTAAGCATGTTTTAAAAATACTCCTTTCCAGTTCAGAAAAACATTGCAATACAGAGTAAGAATAGTCTTTAAATTTTCTCTTTTTCTCCAGCCATTTCATGTTTGTCTTGAAGTGCATAGTACCTATATTGTCATCTCTCCCGGTTTACATTCAATAACCTACTAAACACCATTACAAGTCAATATTAAACATGAGTTGTGCTTTAGTTTGCTTGCAGACATGACTTTTTAAAGTCAGTTTCAGCTATTAGTGCAGTCGTATCATTATTCCACCCACCTTGGAGAACTACACAAGAACATTTGTCAATGCACTGATACAAAAGGGGGGGGGGAGGAATTGAGAAAACAATTACACCCCAAAACCGATGTGCACAGATAGTTATTTTACACCTCATGCTAACCCAGTTACTCGCAGGTTAGTGGTGGTGAGGAGGATGCCGGGGAGGAGTCCCCATCTGTGGGCCTACAAGACTTCAACACTAGCGCCAAGGCTCCCAGGCTGGGAAGGTTACAAGAGATCCTGCATTTTAACAAAAAGGTATTACAGCTTTCCTGGAAAGGTTACCGATCAACACGTGCTTAGTACTATGTCTTCGGCCAGGCTGCGTCACCTCCCTCTGGTGTCTAATCCCGGCTTTCGCGTAGGACATAGGAGAGGCCGTGTTTCCCTGAGGAGTCGTAACTGTCATGGTAGGGGAGGCCGACCCACTCGGGCGGGTATGTCGTTGTGCTGTACACAAAGCACTCTACGACACCCTCGGCAGCTGCCCGCGCCTCGCCCACACCACCCTTCCCTTCCCACTCCACCACCTCGATTCTCATCAGGGTACGCTGGTACATGTCTGGGCAGCCTTCGAACTCATCCAGGAACTGCAGCATCTGGTCGTCAACCGAGTAAATCTCCCCAGCAACGTGGTGTCCTGTTCCCGGGATGTTCAGCATGTAAGGAATGTTGTATTTGCCTGCAATCACCAGCGGGTACTTCTCCACCGTGCGGCCCCATCCTTGGAATTTCGCTAGCCCCTTGGCTGTGTTGATCATGTGCTTGTAGTTGGGCTGGCCCTTCTTAAGCGTGCCGTAGACGAAGACACGAGCCATTGCACCTGCAAAAGCAGCTGAAAGACAAAGGTGAATGTTACCCACATGGCCTCTTTGGCCAACGTTCTGGAGAACCTCACCCACACAAAGACACATTGCACACACAAAGACTGTTTGGGTGTGTGCAAAGGGGGACTTGTAGTCCTACACCACATTTAAATATCATACTAAATTCTAGTATCTCTTGAAACTTTTCAGTCAAGAACTGTACTAGTGAGAAACAGATACCAGGGGCAAGTCAACCTTTCCGTTCTTTGCTGTAATCAAATTACAGCCCATGGTTCGTGTTAAGGAATCCCCAACATCAGCCAATGCATTCCTGAGCCTTGGTAAACCTCTAAACCTTTCTTCGTTTTTCTCTCTCTCACCATGATGGAGCTGTGCTGCAGCAAGTGTGTAATGCTCAGCAACACCCAAAATCAAGTGTAACCTGGAGTTTAAATGGGATAAAAGGCTGGCTTTACTGAAAGGTAAAGGGGGGAAAAGATACCTTCATAGATCCTGGGTTATTTTTCATGCTGTGCTCCATTTATCCCCCACCATTTCTGTAGGGCAGAGATAGTTCTCGCACTGTTTGATGGTTTCCTATGTTTTGCCCTCCATCACTGACTACTGTGCAGAGCTGCCTCACTCGCAGCCAGCTGGCTGGGCCAGACACCCAACAGCAGAGGAGCACCTCCACTTCCTTTTGGAAAGAGGCTCACTGAACAATGTATTTTAAGTTCAAAAATCTTTAAAAAACAGACTGGAAGAAAGTTAATCTATTTCTTCCTATGTGCTCCTATTTTAGTAAACTGTTAGATCAGGTCAGGTATCCAAAAGGATACATTGCTGGCCAAGAGAGTGTCATTGAAAATCCTCAGTAGCAAAGCAATTTCCCCCTTGGTGAAGTAAACAGGTTTTCTTTGTAACAGAATAGTTTTGCAAGCAAAAATGGTGTGTGCGTTTATTTACTGGCAAACTGCTTTCACTTCAGGAAAAAAGACTGCACTGATTTTCCCCCTGTATTTTATCAGATATTCTTCAGTGTAATTTATCCTTCATGACATAAACAAGGTTTTTTTGGACACAGCTCATTCCCTCACAATAAAAAGAACATTAATATTCAGTCCGTTTGACTCCCTTTTATAAGAAAAATCATTACCTTTCAGATTGTGTTTTGAATAACAAACACAGATCCTTCAGGAAGAAACTTGTCCCAGTGGGGATTGAGGAAGGATCAGAGTTAAGCACTGAAACATGCAATTAATTCCCATTAGGGGATTAGGGCACTCGTGTTCACTTTGAATCAGAAAAATGAATTGTGAATTAAATTGTTCACTACCAAGAGGTTACTTGTCAGAGTTAATAAGTTAAAAAATAAAAAGGGAAACCTAAAATGTACATAAAAAGCTCAATAGCTAGTGGTGCATCTGTAAGAAAAAGATACGCTGCATTTCCATTAAACAAAAGCTCCATCCCTACTGTAAAGCTGGAGATAAGCTTCCAAAAAGTTTACAGGAGTGTTGCTACTCCTGAAATTGGTGAGAACGAAGTACGATTTCTGATGGTGCAGCAGATCGCTATTTGGAAATGTCACTGATTTAAAGAGACAACTTACCATCCTAGGGCAGGACCCACAAAATTCACCACCACCTAAAAAGAACTTATTAACCCCAGTTTGGATCAGTGTTTCTGATTTAGCATTCAAATAGGTGAATTCAGCAGGCAGTACAAATGGAGATGGGGTGGCAGTCTGATGTTTCAGCCACAGTCACTGTAAAGCCACAAGGCTGAGGTGCCAGGAGAGCTGTGGCTTTGCAGGCAGGCAACTGCTGAGCTCTCTGTCACACTGCTGTGGTACACAGCGGCCTGGTTGCTCAAACGGGATGGGCTGGATGCAAGGACTTCTATTAAAAACCCAAAAACGCCACAAAGCCAAACCCAGCCAACCCTGGCTGAGGAGGGATTGAAATAAACGTGGTAAAAACACTTTCTGAACGCCACTTCATATAAATTAGACATACAGAGTTTTCTGTGCAATAAATCTGGTCTGCTGTGTGCCGCGTATTGCCTTGCAGAAAGGCTGTTAGATGTATTAGCATCATTTCCAGCACTCACGTATCATGGGCTTTCAAAAAATTTTTAGCCACCTTGTGGCAGGAGAGTAAAGAGCAGAATTTTATGAGGGTCATTTCACAGACTTCCACTAAGCAGCTGAAAAGAGCTATAGATGGCATCCCTTTGCTGAATCACCAACAAGAAGCTGCCTTTTCCCACTTAATCCAGTTTGACACTTCTCACCTATGCTAAACCACCTAAGAGGAGAAGAAAATCCACCAAAAACTAAACGAAACCCACTCCCAGACTGTATACTGACTATTAGCTGCTAGGACAGAACAAACCCATTCAGAAGGTACTTTCATAAAATATTCATGCCAGAATCATTAAAATGTAATGGCATAGGGAAATGCAAGTGAAATATGTATGTCATCTCTCTAAACTGTTTCTTTTAGCTATGAAAGGCAACTTGCCAAAGTGCTCACAGATCAATTACTAGTTGCTTCCTTACACGAAAGACAAATAAAGTGACTATTTCAGGACCATGCAGGTGCGAGGTGCTGTTGGGTGAAAAGTGGCTCATAACCAATACCAATCACAAGCCTGGGATGCTGCTTGTGGTGGTAGGGCTGCATCACTGTACCCACATCTGTCCTTGCCTATTGTTGTGAGTTTTAGGTCAGGGCTTTAGTTTTCCCTCTTGAGGCCCAACAGCTCCAGCGTGGTAAGAGAGGGATTGGCAGCCATGGGGCCAGTCACCAGCTCAGTCAACGTGCACTCGCAGATGAAGCTGAGCTGCTGCAACCAGGCTCCTTGCTCCCAGGCTGTGCCTAAAACAAGACCTCTCTTCCCAAGCAGCAGCAGCTTTGACAAAAAACATCCTTTCACCACAAGTTACGGGACACCACAAGCTTCTTTTGAAAATAAAACAAGAAATAGGACATGCACTATGCTGGCTCCAGGGCTGTTTGTGATCATGGTAACAGTGGCTTTGAGTTTTATTTTGTTGAAACTTTTTTTCCCCAACTCAGAAAGTATCCATTTCTCTTGCTCCATACAGTAACATTATTTTCCCTTGAGAAAAATTCTCTGCATTGGCTCAGTGACCAGATATAGTTACACATTAATTCTTCAGAAGTTTCTTAAAACTGTAGGAAACAGGTGAAAAAACAAAACGCCTTGAACTTTAAACTTGAGCCCAGTCTGTTTGAATGAAGCAAGTTTTAAGGTCACTCTTCACTCAATGCTAACTTTCAAGAAGGACTAACATGCCAGAGAGGACTCCTGGGACCGCATCCTGTTGGTCCTTTGATGCTTTCATTTTGTTGCTTGCTATTTTCTTTATAGCACAGACAAGGGCTTCCTGCCCGGGCCGACCCCTTTCCAACCTTGCTGAATACCTCGGAAAAAGTTTATGGCAAGACACCTTTCTTACATTAACCACAGAGGCACCAGCAAAACGATGGCTCCTTTGAAATCAAGAGGTTATGTCTCCTCACAGCAGTTGTCCGCTCAGAAACTGTGAGGTGCTGGTTTGTGAAAATAAACAAGATATTAGAGAAACCAGTGCCATGCTGGATGCTACCGGGCACTATCTAAAACATCACTTAAGCTACTTTACAGATACTTTTAGTTTCACCCTTGGATAGTTTACATCCCCAAGCCAACAAACATGCCTGCGCTTAGGCTGAAGTATCTTGGAGTACCTGCCAGGAGGTAGAGTGAGGATGCCCTCCCTTTGGACAAGCATGAATCACAATGCTCCTTATGTGCCTCACACCCACTCGTCATCACAGCAAATATTTGCCTTTTGTCTATTTGAAAACACTTCAAATCACTTTCAACTCTATTACATAGAGAAACTTCATTAGACTAATTTTTACTACAATCAGAAAGAGTTTCATTCCCAAAGCGACTGTTAGGAGCAGCTCCAGAGGTAAAACCACCAGGTGAACATGCAGAACACACTGCTAAGACTGATTAAGAGACTAAATTTCTAGACAGTGCAGAGACGGAAGAGGATTGCCAACACATCAGGAGGACAAGAAAAGGCGGATGAAGAAAATGGAAAGTCAATGGATGTGGACAAATTGAGATGGGGGGTGGGAAGTTGTCCTCCCAAGAGAATATTATATCAGTATTATTAAGTATTGACTAGTTTGTCCTAATACTGTCTGAGTCTCAGACAGAATATTGTATCAAGGTCTTGCTACCACAATTCAGAAACCTGTGGATTACAAAAGTAGTTAGAAAGAGCTCAGGACAGAGCACTGAGTGCAGGACTGTTCTTTGGGGGCACAGACTGAACAAGCAGGAGCTTAAAAACAGCAGCTGAGGAGATGAGGCATAATCACCTACACACATATAAAGGTTTCATAGAAGAGACAGTGGTCAACAGCAGATACCTCAGGAAAAGCACAAGAACAGGGCAAGGTGACAGTGACGCATTTCTAGATTTAGGACAGATCCTTCCTAAGCCAGAGGTGATGAGCACTGTGGTGCATAAAGGCCTTTTCCTTGCAAACCACATGCAACAGCAGCAGCACACAGCAGGCAGCCCCACACACATGCATGAGATACAAATTGCTTTGGGGTTTTCCCTACCACCTCCTTGCTTCATCTGATGGCTCTTCCTCCCAGTCAGGAGTCTCTGTACACACTGTAAGTGCCACCAGATATCTTTCAGCTCTTGCTCTCTTCTAGGCTGATGAATCCATGTATATTTAACAGAATTGAAACACTACTTACACAATCATCTTTGCCACCTCTACCTCTAACTTTTCTGGTTCTCGTATAGTTTTTTTGAGATAGGGAAGCTAGAACTGAAACATTTGAGAATGGATAAACCATGGATTTCGACAGGGATATAAATCATGTCTCATGTTTTGTTCACACTCCTTACCCCCAGTGCATTTAATGAGTGCTACGGAGCAGTGGACTGATGTTTCATAAGAACACAG